GGGCGGGGCGGGGGCCGCGGTTGATGACACCGCTCCGCCCAGCTCGCTCGCCTCCCTGGAACCTCAGTTCTGTTTGCGCTTGGGGGCTGGGCCCACTGCACCTGCCAGGCCTAGAGACCCGGGCCTGGGTGAGCGGGTGGTGGTGTCAGAGACCCCCTCTGGCCGTGGTGCAGGTGTGCAGCGTGTGTGTATGTGTGTGTGTGTGTGTGTGTGTGTGTGTATACACGCGGGCGCGCCTAAGCTCTTGCGCTCCTGCTAGAGGCCACCAGAACAGCTGCTGTTCCCAAGCTGAAACCCCAGCCCTGCAGGGCACTGCGGGTTGGCACAGTAGAGGTATCGGCTTCCCTGTGGCGTGAGAGTTATCTTCTGCAGAGCTTTGGGAGGCAAAGGGTCCCTCAAGTGTTTTTCTCCACCTGGGGCCCGCGTCCTCGCGTGCACAGCAGCTAGCTCACTGTCAGCCATGGAGGTGTTCTGTCTCTCTCTGTCTCTGTCTCTGTCTCTGTCTCTGTCTCTCTCTCTCTCTCTGTCTGTCCTCCTCCCTCCCTCAGAAGCCTTTGTTATATTATGTAACATATTTGGAAACTGTGATCTTGTGGAGCTGAATGTTCTGTGGTGATGAACCTTGGTATGGTAGGTCACCTAGACTATTAGTTAATACAGCGCTGGAAGAGGACCTCGCTAAGAACTCGATTCTTAGCACTGCAGGATTCTTAGCATGCTCTGCAAGTGCATGGATACATCGTTGATGTAAGAGGATTTGGAGTTGGGGCTTGAAGCTAGGGTCTCTTGTCATCTTCATGTTTTTGTTTGTTTGGAGGTAATTGGCATATTAAAAATAATCAAATATTGCATTTCAGTAATTGAGTAATGTGACAGGAGCCAAGCTCATTAATTAGGTAATTTTGACCAGTGTTGGTTGAGTATGAGTCACAATGGCACCTGCACATTCATGTTGAGGACAGTCCTTTCCTGAAAGGGTCACTGAGCTCAAGGTCAACATTAGAATTTAGGAACCAAGAGGGACCCTTGGGAAGGACAGCAGAAATCTGGGGGAGAGTGCCAAGGTGCCAGCAAGGGGGGTGGCATCTTCTGTTTTTCAAGTAGAGCTAAGGGCATCTGCTGTGCTTTGAATGTGGGGCTTGTAAAGGAGGAGCTCCAGGGTGGTTCTAAGATCCCTGGTTTGAGAAATTGGAAGAATGCTTTACTCATGGGATGGGAGACTTGCAGAGGACCATGGTTTTCAGACAGCAGTACAAGGAGACTGGTTTTGACCAGGTGGTATCTGAGGTTCCCTCTCGAGAACCCCATGGAGACCTTCAGTGCAGAGCTGGGTCCATGAGCCTAGAGATCAGGGGAGTGTTCAAAGCCAGAGATCCAAATCCAAGAGTTGGGTCAGGATAGCCCCTAGGAGGGTCTGCCCTGCGCATGCCAGGGCCCTACTATTGGGAGAGCATGTTTTAATGCTCTGCAGTTGCTGTCTTTGCAACTTCTGATCAAGGAACCCACAACTTCATTTTGCATTCAGCTCTAAAAATTACATAACCGGTCCCAGCTGTCAGGGCTGTGCATCTATGTAGATGCAGCCTAGAAAAGAGGGATTTAAGGGAGTTCTAGGCATTCTAGTATTTCAAAGTTGGGGGGATTAGTGGTGACACAGAGGGCCTGAAAGATGGGCAGTGAGGACACTGGCAATCAGGGAGAGGAGTACATGGAATTCTAGCCAGTAAGACAGGAATGCTGCCCAGAGCCCAAGAAAGACAAGGCCTGGCACTAGTCCTTGATTTAGTCATATGAAGGGCATGTAACCTTGAAAGAGCTGCTGTCATGTCACTGTGTCTGACAGAAGAGATTCCAGGCTGAAGAAGAGGACAGGGACAGGCAACAATAAGTCCAGAAGACTCCTTAGGCTAAATTTTGCAGAAAAGGGAAGAGGCAGATGGAGTCATGGCTGGAGGAGGATGTGAGTTCAAGACAGCACATTTTGAGAATTATTTTACAGGCAGCAGAAGTCTGGGAACAACAGTGAGGGGTAGGTTCCCCAAAGCAGAGCAATAAAGGCCAGCAGGTTCATGAGTGTTCGAAGAGGTTTTATGAGATGCAGGACTATTTCAAGCATTTACTAATACATGGGTAGAGGGAAGGCCTAGGTAATGTGGTCTCTAGGGGGGACTCAGGGAAAACCCAGGTGAAGGGCCTGAAAATCATGTGTTCCCATAAAAATATTGAAGTCATTGTTTCCAATGAAGTTTTTTTCCCTCATTGAGTTTATTGGTACATCTTAGGCATACAGTACAGTTACATTCATTACTGGGATCTTGTACCTCTACGTGACAGGTCTTGGTTCTCATTTTTTCCCCTTGCCCCTGCCCTCCCTTCACACCCTCTTCCCCTCCCTATTTACAAATACTTTATCTCCACTTTTTTCATTTTCTCATGTTCTTCTTTTCCCTGATAAACTTTCCCCTACCCTTCCCACTTTCCCCACACCTTTAGCCCTTTTCTTCCTATTTCACATTGTCAATTATATCATTAGGATCTTATGTACTATTATAGTTTATTCATACCAGAGAAACTATTCAGTATTTGCACATGTGTGACTTATTTATTTCACTTAGGATTATATCATCAACATGTATCCATTTTCCTATGAATGAATCTGATTTCTCATTCTTTATGGTTGAGTAGTATTCCATTTTATAGAAAAACCACATCTTCTTTATCCACTTTCCACCTGATGGGCAAATGGGCTGTTTCCATTCCAATGAAGTTTTTGCACAAACTAGCAGTGCAAGGAATACAAATCACAGTCTTTTTTTTTCTTTTGAGTTTATTGGTACATTTTAGGTATACAGTACAGTTACATTCATCATTGGGATCTTGTACCTTTACATGACAGATGGTCTTGGTTCTCATTTTTTCCCCCTTGTCCCTGACCTCTCTTCACTCTCTCCTTCCCTCCCCATTTACAAAAAAATCACAGTCTTTTTTAAGATTAGGTACTGATCATGATACTATTTAGTAAGGCAATTCTTGGTTATTATTTCTCATGATTTTTGATGCCTACCCCAACCCCTTTTCAGTGGCTTCCCCATCCTCTTAAATTTTTTTAAAAAAAATTGAGACAGGATCTTGCTAAGTTACCTAGGCTGTGCTTAAGCTGAGGATTCTCCTGGCTCAGCCTTCAAGTGTGCTGGGTTTACAGGTGTTTGCCAATGTGTCCAAATAATCCTATCACAACCTTCTATTCTATCTTTGATTCTCTTATACTTTTGCCATTTCTACCTCTCCTCAAAGATTTATCTTGTGCCTCTGCGTCTCTGACAATTTACCAAATGATGAGAATCCAAAAGCTGGTAAGAGAGGTCCACCTTCTCATGTGGATCTTGCAATCTGTCCACAGTGGACCTTTCAGTCCAGTAAGAGAGACAGTGAGAATGGAGCCATTGCTTTCACAGGTATAGGTTAACCACTTTCTCTGTGCCAGGCACTGTTTGGTGTGCTGGAGTTGGAGGAGGGACAGAGTGGTGTGGTCTTGCAGAGCTCATGGTCCTGGGGTTGATCCTGAGGCATGTGGAGAGAACACTCAGTTCTCATTCAGCCTTGAATTTGCACTCCTAGGTGGAGCATGTGAACAAATAGGGATGTTAAGCAGGTGCATGTGTCCACAGGGGTACAGGGAGTGGGTGGAGGCAACAAGAAACTCCCCAGATGTTCTCCAGGGACTACGGCTTCAGATCTGTCTGGGCAAAAGTTTCCTCAAACCTAGTGTGTTTTTTATCATCTCCAGGCAGCCTAGTTCAACATCAGATCTCAATTGAACCAAACAAGGCCATTTATTCCACATTGTTACCTCTTCTTGACAGGAATTGGACACGAGTCTAAATTCTTCTGCTTTCGTTTTCTGTCTTATACAGTGGGTATTCAATAAATAAAGGTTTGACTGAACTCTGTCCTGGGTCATTTTCAGATTTGGTCTAAAGATTTAGGTTATATTTGGAAGTTGCAAAGAGGCAGCATGTGTTGGGGCTAAAACACCAGAGACAATTGAATCCAAATTTTGACACTGTCACTGCCTGCATGACATCAGAAAGATTCCTTGGTGGCTGTAGTTGTTCATGCTTATAATCCCAGCACTGAGGGAGGCTGAGGCAGAATTTGAATCCTACCTGGGCAACTCGGGAAGACCTTGCCTCAAAATTAAAAAATAAAAGGGATAGGGATGTATTTCAGTGGATAGGGATGTATTTCAGCACATCCCAGGGTTTGATCCTCAGTCCCCGCTCCAAAAGTTTTGTTTGCTTCCATTACAGATGAAAATAAAAGGTTTGCACTTGATGAGGTAGTTGTGAGTGCATAATGTGTCTAGAAGTGCATGCTGTAATTATCTGATGCATGATCAAGCTTATTTAGCCAAAATGTCATTATTCCTCATGTTGCCCATCATTATTCAATGCAGACTCCTTCACACACCTACATATTGATCCTG